ACAAAGGTAATCTGAATGTAGCCAGATTACATGACCGTATGTGGGATTGAATAAAGGTCAGCAGAAAAGCAGTCCAAAAGTAGTCAGATTTCACCACCATAAATGTGGAATCAGAAAGACTACATATTATGCGATGTAATTTGTAATCAGATTACACTTCATAAGTAATCCAGCCAGCTCCGCTTTTCAGAAAGCATTTTAGCGTGCAGACAGCAGGTCAGCACCTTACTGTGGTATATTTAACAACACGTGACGGAACTGTCAGACCAGCATCCTGTCTAAAGCAACCTGGGTAAATACAAGTTAGTAAAAAGAGCTATATATGGAGAAAACCAAGCACATCAGCACACACAGAGGTTAAGTTCCTCTCTCAGATCCTCATCACAGATCAGTGAACTGAAGAAGCTGTGCAAACGTGCAGAACCCATGCATTTATTCACTTACAGATCAACCAAACATGATCATTTGACACCAAAAATATAGTTGTACTTTTCTATGAACGAGGGGGGTGGGGGGGGGGTGTGAATTAAGATAATTGGAAAATTGTGAGTGCATTATTTTTATTTATTTCGTTTTTTTGAGGAGAGTGCTTGAAAATGCATGAAGATGTAACTGAAGATCTCATGCAACATTTGTTTCATGCACTTCTTTTCAACACATTGACGGTTTCATGCATCACAGCTAGAACAAATGTGCAACTTTGTGACCACAAAATCTTTGAAACAAACAAATAGCAGTTCCTTAATACTCTCTGTGTATTTCAAAGCATGTATGAGTTCAAACGAAGATATTTGCATCAATTAAAAGCCATACGGTCATGGAAAACCTGGAAAAGTCATGGAGTTTTGACATGGGATTTTCCAGGCCTGAAAAAGTTTTGGAAAAACAGAAGAGCCATGAAAAAGTCATGGAAACAAATATCTGTATACTTGAATATAGTTTATTTACTTTTATTCTGTCCTTGGCCAATCACATTATTAGTGCGGTGTTAGCATTATCTAAATCAATTGTACATAGATATAAATAAAAACTAATTGCTGCATGTTTTACCATATGCTGTAATAAATTTGAACATGCTTTGCTTTTCTTTTACCACGCATGAAACATAAGATCATGAAAATTATGGAATTTTATTCGTAAAAATGTGTTTGAATCCCGAAAAAACAATATTCTGGGCTATAGTCCATATTTTTGTATATATATATGTATATTTTATAGTCAATATATGTTTTTATATTTAGTTCATATTATCTATTTTTTCCTTTTTATTTTCTGGTATTTTTAAAGGTCTAATTTTTAAAAATACACACATTTTACAAAACATATACAAAATATTTGATAAAAGTATATAGGTTTTCTTTACTTAACCATGATATTATATAGTATAAAATAAAAAAGCAAGTATTAATGCTTTGTATTTTTTTTATTACCACATTTTGACATGTTAGAACATGTGTGAGGAAATACTTGCGCATTTTAAGCAGTTTTCAGCACAGTAGTGGACATTGATGGAGATCAAACTATAAAAAAAACTCTCAAATGAACCATAATAGTCCACTGTGCATGAGCAATAAAGCATTTGCAAATTGGTGCATACAACAACAATGCGCAATACTTACCAACAAGTAATGACGGCTCATTAATATCTGGCTTATAATGTTCAAAGTCGAAGCAGTTCGTCAGGGAAAATGTGGAGTTCTGAAAGAAAACAGACAGATCAGAGTCAGCGTTATATTTCACACACATGAAAATGTGTTCATCTTATTCTGCTCGCTTTTGCGATTTTCTTTAAGATTGTGATTGTTTTGTTTTTGCGATAGTTTTAAAACTTCCACTTCAGATGCCAATGAGAAAAATGAAAATTCTTCGTTATTCAGAAAATTAATCATGCAGTTTTCATTCAAAATTTTGCATCATTTCAGATGTCGATTAAACACCACGCAGCACCAGATGACTTTATTTGATTTGGTCAATTCAGTATATTAGTTCAGCTCAGAATAATCATATTTTCTGCCAGACAGAGTTTTTACACTGCTGATATTAGTCTAATGTTTAGATGTAAAAGACTATTGATAAAATAATGATCAACATTTTCATATAATTTGCTTGCATTTTAATTTTGCTGGCGAGGCAGTGGCGCAGTAGGTCGTGCTAGCCTCACAGCAAGAAGGTCGCTGGGTCGCTGGTTCGAACCTCGACTCAGTTGGTGTTTCTGTGTGGAGTTTGCATGTTCTCCTCCTTGTGTTCTGATTTCCCCCACAGTCCAAACACATGTGGTACAGGTGAATTGGGTAGGCTAAATTGTCGGTAGTGTATGAGTGTGTGTGTGAGTGTGTGTGTGGATGTTTCCCAGAGATGGGTTGCGGCTGGAAGGGCATCCGCTGCGTAAGAACTTGCTGGATAAGTTGGCGGTTCATTCCGCTGTGGCGACCCCGGATTAAGAAAAAAAAGGGACTAAGCCAACAAGAAAATGAAATGAATTAATTTTGCTGCTGTCTATATTAGCAACTCATTTTATAAAATAATTTAGCACACAGTTCATGAAGTGTTTTTTTTTATTACAATTAAAATTGTTTTGTCAGCCTATTTGTTTTTCGCCTGAATTTTGTATCACCATAAATAATCTGCCCATGAGGGAAGCAATATAATCTTGTCTAAACAAAAAACTAGATTATAGCTTCCCCCAATGGCAGATTACTCTGCTTGTTTTAATGAAAACTCACTTCATTTTGTCTCATTATTTCTGAAAACAATGTGTTTTGCTTGTCAAGAAAATGCTTCTTGATTTAGGAAAGTTTAGTTATTTGAACTAGAAACCAGAGAAAAGCATTTTTATTTTTGCAGCGATGCCAATGTCTGCGTCCGCTCAATAGAATAAAAACAGCACGTACCAAACTACAGCACATTGTCTTTTCCTCGTCAGTCGTGCCACACAAGAATAGGAGATTTCCATTAGCACCTTCAGTCAGCACAGACACGCGGGCTGCACATGTCTGGAGAACAGAAATACGCTTATCAGCGGCTTCATTTGACCCGTCTCAACACTGTATATTCATATATATATATACATATATATATATATATATATATATATATAT